TGGCAAAGGGAGAGGGAGAGAGAGAGTCCCAGGGTTCTGTGCCCAGCCCAGGGCCCAATGCAGAGCCCAATACAGGGCTCAATCTCACAACCCTGAGATCATGACCTGAGTTGAAAACAAGAAATCGGATGCCCAACAGACTAAACTACCCAGGTGCCCCGTGCATTTTTCAATCCATTATTTGAGATGGCTTATGATTCCTCCTCAGAATTCTCTTCTTTCTTAATCTCTATGACACCACTCCCTCCTGTTTTCTTTCAGCCTTTTGATCACTACTTCTCACTTGTGGAATCACTTTTTTCAGCTGCTATTAGTTGGCTGAAGACTTGCAAGTCTATCTGGCCTGCCTTGAGGCTCTTTCCTGAGAAACCTACCTTTTGGTTTTTATTTGTATTTCCTGTTGCTTGCTGGGAATTTTTACTTCAGTGTCCTGCAGGCATAGTTCAGTTTAGTATATCTGAAATTGACTTCATTATTTCTCACTGCCCACCAACCTGTTTCTTCTCTTGGCTTCCCAGTCGTGGTGAATGATATTCTATTCAGCCAGTAACTCAGGTGAGAAGGCTGGCATTGCCTTCAGTTCTTCCTTCTCTCTCAGTAACTCCAATAAATGCAACAAATATTGCTAATGTTATCTTAGTTAATCGTCACAGAAACGCTATAGAGAGGAATTGTTATTCTCATTTTAAAGATGAAGAATTAGATTTTCAGGTAAGTTAATGTAGTTTTGTAAGTACTAGAGCCATGGTTAAATTCCAGTTGAGAGAGAATTGGCTTTCCAGATCCTTTACTCTAACCATACTAAACCATTAACCATCTCCATTGTTTCTTGCTTCTACACATGTTGTTATTTCTTTAGATCTCTAATTTCCTCACACTCAGTTTTAGATCGGGCATTAACTCTTCTGTAGACTCTCTCCCCTTCTACAAGCCAGACGGCTCTCTTATGTTCCAGTAATGCTGTCTAAAACTTTTAACACTCAGCACATTGTGTCATTAGACTCTTATCTTTGAAGACAATACTGAGGACAGTACTGATTCTTGCTCATTTCTCTATCTCCCATATATAATGCCTGATATAGATAATACATTATATAAATTTTGGTGAAGTAAAAGAGAAAATTATAAAATAAAGAACTTCAGAGTATAAAGTAAGGGGTGAATGTATGTTGTTCTTTCCTTAATGAGAGACAGCAATTCCTAACAGAGGGAAGCTTGCTTTTTAAAATTCTAAACCTTATGTCCTAAATAGCACTGGTAAAATTAGCTGGAATACACACATCTTTATTCTCTCCAGCCATTTCTAATAAGTAATTTTTTCGGAAAAAGAATACAAAAGAAGTTGTATCATTTTGTGTTTCTGAAAGAAACATAAAAGGAAATACACTCTGCAAGTAAGTAATTGAAATGTAGTGGTGTTTAGTATTTTCCTTCAGATTTTGGGTTTGGTTAAGAACTTTTGATTCCAGATGAAGAACTGATAGTTATTCCAACCAAAGCTCACACAGCTTAAAATTCTTTGGGAATTGGGGATTTCTTGGCCAGGGATAGAATGAAAAATAAAAGGCAGTTCACATGTGTGAAGGGGGAATAAATTAGTACCAACTAGCTCATCCTATCTCTGTCTGAGCCAGTCGGACACAGAAACAAATAGCCAGTTGGTTCTTATTGTAGACCCTTAATATAAACTTCTTATTCTGGTAAGCACAGAGAGCTTATTAGAGAGTGAAAAGGTAAGCCATAAACCGAAGAAGATATTTGTGATGATTGACAAAAGAATTTGTATATAGAATATGCAAAGAGCTCTGTAAACCAATAGAAAAATGAGCAAATGAACAGGAATTTCAAAAAGAGAATATTTGAATGGGCAATAAGTATGTTTGTCATCAGAAAAATAAATATTAAAACCACAACAACAGACCCACTAAAATTAAAAAGACTGACAATACTAAATGGTGACAGTGCAGAACAAATGAAACTCATACATTGCCAGTAGAAATGTACAGAGTCAACTACTTTGGGAAAATGTTTGATGTTTCTACTAAAGTCAAATTTACATCTACCTTATAACCCAGCAATTCCATTCCTAGGGTATACCCAAGGGAAATGAGTGCAGGTGTCTCCTACCCAACAAAGATATGTAGCATTATGTTCATAGTATCTCTCTTTATAGGAGCCTCATATTGGAAATGACCCAAATGCTCAGTAGTAGAGTGGAAAAGTTTTATTATTTTTATACCGTGGAGTACTAAACTGTAATACAAAAGAACATGCTGATGCTACATACAACAACATGGATGATTCTCACAGACATAATATTGAGCAAAAGAATCCAGACACAGAAGAAAATATATGAAGGCATGTAGATGGGGCAGGTGAAACCAGGCATCATGATAATAAATGGTTATAGTGGTTATCTCAGGATTTGGGGGTGGGGGGAGTGGATATTGATGCGGAAGAGGAACAAAGGAGCTTTCTTTGGTACTGGAAATGTTTTGTATTTGATCTGGATGGTTGGTACATGAAGGTATACCATGATAAAAATTCATTGATCTGTATACATGTTAGGCATTTCCACTTTTCTGCGTATACTTTAATTTAAAAAGTAACATGCAGGGGCACCTGGGTGGCTCATTCGTTAAGCGTCTGCCTTCGGCTCAGGTTATGTTCCCGGTGTCCTGGGATCGAGCCCTGCATCGGGCTCCCTGCTCAACGGGAAGCCTGCTTCTCTCCCTCTCCCACTCCCCCTGCTTGTGTTCCCTCTCTCGCTGTGTCCTCTCTGTCAGATAAATAAATAAAATCTTAAAAAAAAAAGTAACATATATAGAGATTGAGTAAGGTAAGTACCATACTTAGTCCTGGTTTTTTAATTCAAAACATGCCCTTTACAAGAGATAAGTGAAGGGTGTTGACAGAGGGGAACCAGGATAACTTCAGTTTTCTGCAGTACTTCAAAGATCACAAATAAGTCATAGGAGAAAAAAACCTGCCATGCAGGGGTTGTTTTTCTTCCCCAGAGAGGAAAATAGGAAAATCATGATGAGTATTTTGAAAAGGAGTTTTAAAGCAAGTGATTCCTCAAAGATTTTAAGTCCCTTGCCTAACAGTACATGTGTGACAACTACTACAGTGTTCCTAGTGGGAATGTGGTACATTTGAGATGGTAGAAAGACTAAGAATCACTTCTCTAGAGCATTTCTTCATTGCCATTAAAATTCCTTGCTTTGCCTGTTCTGTAAGAGTCACTTAACATTTGAGCATGTACATCTCTGTAAAATTCAATTATACATACCTATATTTTAGTTTAGTAAACTGTACTTCGGAGGTTTTTCTATTTTTTGGGAGTCCTGGGTCAAAAACTAGTGAAAGAGAACAATTAACTCCTGAAATTCTGTTCCATGATTAACTTCATTTTGTTAGTATGAATTTATTTATTTATTTATTTTTAAAGATTTTATTTATTTATTTGAGAGAGAATGAGAGATAGCACGAGAGGGAAGAGGGTCAGAGGGAGAAGCAGACTCCCTGCTGAGCAGGGAGCCCCATGTGGGACTCGATCCCGGGACTCCAGGATCATGACCTGAGCCGAAGGCAGTCGCTTAACCACCTGAGCCACCCAGGCGCCCTGTTAGTATGAATTTAAATGTTCTTGGGTCATTAGTGTTTTTTTTTTTATAATGAATGACAGTGCTGATAGTTCAGTTTTATAATTAGCTTTCTATTCACTAATCAATACATATTTGAGGGAGTTTTTTTTAATCTAGTGTATCTATTTTACTTTACCATATAGTAAGTAATACAGTGAAGTAGATTAACCCTTAATGGTACACACGAGGCATCTTAAACTAGTCCCTAGGTGAGTGAGGTTGAGTGGAGAATATGAATAATAATAATAGGGGCTATCAGGAAGTATCCCAGCCTTCTCTAATCTCAGGTGAATGCAAAGATGGTATTCTTTGAGGAGTGTATCTTCTTCATTCCCTGCCAGTGATCTTTTAGGGCTAGAATCTTTCAAATGTTAATTCAAATCCAAGTACCTCCCTGTCTGTGACCTGTACTTAGGGGAGGAGGAGAAGACATAGGCATGGTGACCCTCAGTCCAGAGGTCTTACTATTAATGACTTTGGGCTCTTATTCCTGCAGTGCACCTCCCTGTATGTCCTCAATTTGGATTGTTCCAGTGAGGAAAAGATTCTGTTCTTCCTCCGGCACCAATTGGATATTAGCTTCTATTTTTTTTTTTTAGCATGTCTCATCTTTATGAGGATAAGCAAAGAGTATTATTGCAATAGTTAGTGGAGGGAATGTTAAAGAAAATGTAGTAAAATAAGTAAAATTGCTGTGAGAGGAATCAAATGTCAGGGGAAATCTGTGCACATAAGCTAGTTGGCACTCATAGTAATCATAAAACAAGAGATGTGTCTTTGCTGATACTTAGGAACTCATTGAAAGCCACTTCAATTAAGTAACCTATTAAGTTGAGAACTGAAATGTCTATAAAAGACATAATCTGATTTATGACTCACATATGGATAAGTGCTGTTTTTAGTGCTTACAGAAAGAGTAGTTTCTTCATGTAATCTAAAAATGGTACAAACAGGACAAATAACACGTATTTTTAGTTCTAAGTGAGAACAAGAGACAGGGAAACAGTGCTAATTAACGAAAGAACATGCTTGTAATGTAACAAGATTTATACCGTAGAATTAGGTTATGATACACTCAGTGACTATGAAGCACAGTAAAGAAGTTTAAGGGATTAAATTGAACATTTTGCTCTAATGAAACTGAAAAATTATATTTGATAACCAGGACAGTTTTTGACAGAGAACTTAGGGTCACTCTATTCACTAATCCTGCAAATGTCCAATATTCTCTTTCAACGTGTAAAATATTAGGGAAACATATTTTTAGGTTGTAAGCATTTTCAATAAAAACTGATGGTGTTTCTGTTATACCAAATTACATTTTCCTTTTTTCATTTGTTTTTTTCCCCCTAGGAAACTGACTGGACATTCTTTCCACATGGGCTATAGCATGGCAATTTTGAATGGCATTGTTGCTGCTCTTACTGTAGCATGGTGCCTCATGTAAACCCACACTGAAGCAATATTTTTGGCAAAACTTAGTCATGATTGCTTTGTAATAACAGGGAAGAACATCATTTCATCATTTGTCTACTCAGAAGACCAAGAAACCTGCTGTTATGTGGTTCAGATATGTCATACCATCATCATTATGGAGGACCTTCTTTTTTTTTGTAAATGGAGGACCTTCGTAAGCACCATTCTAGAACTTAGACATTGAGAATATCTGAGTATTAAGTTTCAAGTAATTTCTCAAAAATGTAAGATGTTTACCTCGTCTTTTTACTTTTGTGTGCATTGTCCTTATACATTATAGAAACATTTTAATGGAATTCAAACATGAAAACTTGAATATGGGATGTTATGTATAATACTACAATTTTGCTAAGAAATACTAGTAGACTGTTTAAATGAGATAGAAATGCTTCTTATTTATTCATGGTATTAGAAAAGCAAACAATGCCTACTACTTCGACATTTTATAGAAGCTACTTTGAAATCAGAATATTTAGTTTTCAATAGTCATAATCTACGGAAGGTGCATTTATATTTTTTAATGGGGTATAATTCCTTATGTGTTTTTTTATATATTTTCCTACTACATATTGAATTTGTATGTTTTTTAAATTGCTACATCTAGACAAATGTATATGTTAGTTTTTAGCTGGTGGAAACCTAATACCTACCATTTTAAATAAGTATTTTGTTGTTTTTTTTTTAAACAAACAAAAAAAAAACCCACAAAAAACAAACACATTGATCTGAGTTTAAAATTAAGTAAACCTATTTTAGCAAAAAAATCTGATAAAAAGTAAATTACTTAAGCCATTAAATTATTTGAGAAAGTTGAAGTTGTTCATTATTTCTGTTTCCACAGTTGCGAATATTTGTCTTCGTGTGTATATGATTACTCCAACGGAACTGATACTATTTTGTTTTTAATAAATATAAATCTGAAATTTTTATATTTAGAAATGCTTGAACTACTTTGTTTTTAACTCAACAATTTAGTTACCAAAATAGAAAAGATATTTTGATAGTGGATATGTTTCATAGTTTTCGTATTTAAATGTTCTTCTACAATTGTGTTTGTTTTTGTTTTCATAGTAATTAAGCTTAGTTGTTCCCACTTCTTTTCTAAATACCTGTTTAGAAAGTCTCTTCAATTTTAGAAAGATGGGCTATTTAAAATGCCGTTTTCCCTGGCCATAGAAAAATTTCTATTAGGAAAGCATTGTGTAGCAAAACTAGTTACTTATTCAGGCTGAAAGGGAAATGAGTATGTGCAGTGTGTTCCTGTTAGGTGCTAGGTGTTGTTACTGAGTAAATGATTTAATGATATTTCTAAAAGTCTTAACACATTTTTGCTACTCAGAAACCTTCCATTGGAAATGACAAATGCTGCTCCAATTTAAATTATCTGAAGCGGTTAGATTAATATGGGGGGAGGGGTGTTTGTGTGTGTATACACACACACACACACACACACACACACACATTATATATATCTCATGGCTTAAAGTATTCCTTCCAGAGTGGTCGAAATGAATTTATTTTCACTCTCTTTCTCCTCACCGTCTCCCAGCTCTTCCATTGCAATTGAATGTACAGGTAACAAAATTAGTTTTCCTTCTCTCCACCCTTCCAAACCTTCCCCCCCACTCACCCAATTTGGATAGCTCCTTCCAGATTCTTTGTGTCCCATGACTAAAAAAAAATTACAGTACACCCTCTATATGTAGGTATCTATAAGATATTATATATATAATATATATATAATATAAATACATATATCTGTAAGATAGTTCTTCTGGACTAGCACTCCTCTTTCTTGGGAAGTTCCTCTCTCCAGTTCATCATAGAGTCCAAATATAAACCATCCTACTTCCATAGCAGAGTGATTGAGTAAGGATAGGTATGTAACCAAAGCTAGGTAAGTCCTAGCTTCTCATCCCTCTGGGCCACAATGATTGCAATCCAGAAAGATTGGATTTCAGTGAAGACCTCTCCCTGGCTTACAGAGAACTGTCTTCTCATTATATCCTTGCTTGGTGGAGAGAAGGCCAGCTATCTTTCTCTTATAATGATACTGATTTCATCATGGGGCCTTCACCCTCATGACCTAATTACCTCCCAGAGCACTACCCCCTAATACTATCTTATTGGGGCTTAGAGTTTCAACAAATGAATTTGGGGAGGGGATAAACCTGCAGTCCATAACAATATCCACTATCAAAAGTAGCTTCTTCGAAAAGATAGATTTCTAGTAAAACATTTTAAAGGAAGATTTTCTATATTTGTCTATTTTTCCATTTTTGCTCTGTTCTTGATTGTATCAGGGCCCTATATTGCAAGCAACAGAAACCATCAGGCTGACTTAAGGAAAAGGGAATTTAATGGGATATCCAGTCGCTCTCAGAACTGGTGGGCGGGAGCCACGAGAGTACTAGAGGAGAAAAGTACTCAGGGAGGAAGCAAAGGGACTGTTTGATAGTGAGAACAGCCTGGTCAGGATGATCTAATGAATCATTCCTGTCATTTGTTCTTGCTGCTTACAAGATCGGCTAAGGGTTTGGAGTCCTTGGAGAGAGTGCACAATTGGCCCAAGATTGGGTTATGTGCCTACTCTTGGCTTCTGTAATTGAGGGTAGCATCTGGAATTCTTTGGGGATGGGTGAATGGGTAGTGACAAAGACAAATGTTCACTACACTTCACTCTTGGCTGTTCAATTTCCACACATATACTATTCCTTTTATACTTCAATTTCCAAATGTACTCATGCCTGACAATGCAGCTATCATTTACTACATCCAAGGCCAAGGCGTTAAGGCCATGTTCATTTTTCTAGTTTTACCACATTCTCATTGATGTTCTGCAAATTACACTGAACAGTTTGTGTGTGTGTGTGTGTGTGTGTGTGTGTGTTTTAGAAGCATGAGTAGGGAAGGGCAGAAGGAAAGGGAGAGAGAGAATCTGAAGCAGGCTCCACGCCCAGCATGGAGCCTGACGTGGGCCTTGATCTCATGACCCTGAGATCATGACCCGAGCTGAAATCATGAGTCAGACACTCAGCCGACTGCACCACCCAGGCGCCCCCTGAACAGTCATTTTAATATTAACACAAACAGCAGGAAGAGATGGGAAATTTGTTTAAATACATGTTACGTGTAACAGCAAGAAAATACAGGTGGGAGTTACTGTTTTATTTAAGAACCGGATCATGAGACTTTACTTCTGCATCTGTTCTTTTACTTTTGTTTTGGCTACTACCTTGACCAATTAGGTTTCTTCCCTAATACAGTGACCAAGTTTGTTTTAGACAGGACTAAGCTCTTCTTTCTTTCACCACCGAATATGGTAATACAAGAACACACCTCAGAGAATCTTCAGTTTTCCCTCTATACTCCTCCCTGTTCTTACATGTGACAGCAATTGTATTATATGGTTAAAACACCCCAACTAACATGGCAACCCTCTTTTTTGCCAGATTACCTAGTGGCATAAAGAATCCAAAATTACCATGTGGCAGTTTGAACTTCCAGTTATTTTCAATTGATTTCATTTGAACTCTTAAATACTAAAATCTTTAAAAACAGTAGCGTCTGGAGTCAGAGGAATAAAAAGCAAAAACTTTATGAGAGGGTAATTGGGTATAATAGTGAGAGGCTTCTTAGTTCTTGGAGCTTATATAGGAACAGGAGAAATAGCATTAGAAATCAGTTGTTGGATATAAATATATACTGCATTCGGAAAGACCCCAACTTTAAGTGCTGTCTGTCGGTTGGCTTCATAAGTCTTCCAAGAGCTTTATCTCACCTCTTCTGTGTAATTAGTTCCTTTGCCAGAGCAATGTCGTGTGGTAATCCATGATAATGTATAAATTATTTAGTAAATCCATAAATGGTGGTGCTGCCAGAAGTATCACAGATAAGCGAAAAGACCATAATGTCTGCCAGTGAGGACAAAACTAAAACATTGCTTCTTCTAATGGGATTAATTGGCTACCAGGTAGCTGGCTGACACTGCCCCCCCCCCTGCTGCCAACATGATACCAGTAGAAGGGGTCTTGGCAAAGAGAAGTGTGGGAGGTAGGCAAGGGGAGGGAGGGGAGGGAGCAGTAGTCAGAAAAGCCTCTGGAAGTGTGGTTCTGTTTGTATACCCCATCCCTGCCATCCTGGCACTTTGTTTATACTCTCATTTAGCACCAGCTTGACAAGATACCAACATTTACAGAAGAGGTGGTCTTGTCTACCTAATTATCCAGAGACTTGTTCATGGTGAGGGCTTTGCTGTATTAACATAGCTCAGAAATATTCTCACATTCTGGATCCATTTTAAGAGATCCATCTATATACCCCTTTCAACCTTTCTTAAGTTGACACCAGTCCTTTTCCAAGCCCCTGAGAATCCAGCCAAACCCCATGTTCATTTTCCATGAATATACATAATCTTATTGTATACCATATCTCTTCAGGCCAAGGAGACAAAATGAACTACTCAAAGCTCTGCTCCGTAGGAGGACTTCCCTTTCTTGCCCTTTGCTGCGACCCATGAATAGGGGGTTTAATGCTTCCCACCACCTCCTTTGTGACAGGTAGTAACACAACACACAGAACCACCTCTAAGTCAAGCTTGAATTTTTTTCCAACATCAGTTATCCATATGGAGCTCTCATGAGGCCATAGTTGTGAATTGAATGAAAGAGGCAGCATGGCAGGGGAGCGTACTGGGAATGTGCTCACTACTCATGCCTTTAGGACTGGCTCAGGACACTTTTCCTGAATGATAGAACTCAAAAGGATGCACTTAGGTCAGTGCATTCTCAACTGAGGGCAATTTTGCTTCTCGGAGGTAAAATTTAGCAATTTAATATTTAACAAAGTTTAGAGACATTTTTGATTGTCACAATTGCAGGGTGCTACAGGTAACTAGTTGATAAGAAGCCAGGGATGCTGCTAAACATACAGAATGCTCAGGACAGCTCCCCACAAGAAAAAATAATTCGAGCCAATCAATAGTGCCAAGGTTGAGAATGTCTGATTTATATTTATGTCTAGATGAGTTGGATAACATCTTGTTCAGAATGGACCCAGGGTCAGGATTACTTGGAGTTCCGAGATGAGGTGTTCATTCTCCAAAAAGCCAGATAAAATGAGCTGTTCCTCAAGAGCAAAGAGTTATTAGCCTAAGAGGACTTGTCTCGGTGCCAGTACCCATTGGACCTCTGGCTGGCAAGGTCTGTCACAGACACTAGTCATTAACTGCAATGGCCTTGTCT